CTGTCACCAGACTGAAATCCAGTGGTGTGATTAAGGCTTATGGCAGCCGCCACCTCCCAGGCTCAGGTGATCCTCTCACCTTAGCTGCCCGAGTAGCTGGGACTACAGATGCCCACTACCACACCTAATTTTTCTATATTTTGTGGAGACGAGGCCTCACCATGTTGCCCAGGCTTGTCTTGAACTGGGCTCAAGTGATCCACCAGCTTTGGCCTCCCAGAGTGCTCAGATTACAGGCATAAGCCACTGCGCCCGGTCAACATTTTTTTTAAAGCTGCATTAGCACAGAGAACAAACACCATGTTGTTTTAGGGATGGGGAGATGTCACTAACAGAATATCTCAGAAGCCAGACTGAAACTTCCATAGGGAAAAACAAGATTTAGCTTCCTTGGTTTGGGGAATATTCCTCTTGGTTGCCAGAAAAGACCCACTGACATTCACACCCATTGTGATTCACAGCCCCAGTGTGGTACAAATGCTTGTGATGTGGAAAAATCTTCAGGTGCTCTTCTCCTTTCCTTTCTGCCATCAGAATAAACTTTATGTCCTTCGGGTCAGACCTGTTGGGACCTGGTGGCACACCCTCCCCTTCCTCATGGGCTCCAAACTTCATCTTTTCAGTGACTGCAATGGGTATCCTCAAAGGAACCAGGAGCTATTTCTTTTTTTTTTAATTGTAAATCTTTAAATTTTGAAGTCTTCATTAAAAGTCCTCAAAATCAAGGTCTTCTTGTGAAAGGAGTTAACATGCATGTTAAGTGGGAATTACGCATCATCGCTCCTAACTTTTCTTATTCAAATAATCAAATAGGGACATTGAGGAATAGGCGAGAACTAAGAAAAAAAAAAGAACAACTTCCTTGGGTTTTGTAGCATTCTCTTTTTGGAAGTCCATGAAATAAGGGAAGTTGTATACCATTCCTGGTGGTCACCTATGATTTGTCTGAAATATGTTTTTTGTTGTTGCTATTTTCGAGACAGATTCTCCCTCTGTCGCCCAGACTGGAATGCAGTGGTGTGATCTTGGCTCACTGCAACCTCCACCTCCTGGGTTCAAGTGATTCTCCTGCCTCAGCCTCCTAATTAGCTGCAATTACAGGCACATGTCACCATGCCCAGCTAATTTTTTTTTTAAATTTTTAATAGAGACGGGGTTTCACATGTTGGCCAGGCTGGTTTTGAACTCCTGGCCTCAAGTGATCTGCCCACCTCAGCCTCCCAAAGTGCTGGGATTACAGGCATGAGCCACCACACCTCACTGAAAATTGACTTTAATAACATAGACCCACTGTGGAGAGAGAAAGAATGAATATGAATTACCGTCTTGGTTAAAATATTCCTGGGCTCTAATTCCATGTCTATCAGGCAACCTTCTTGGGGTTAATTTGAGCTCGAGTGTCCTCATGACAAGAAGAGAAAACTTTAAACAATGAGCATGAGGGTTTGTTTGTGAACACTGACATTTGAATTCTGAATTTTTTTTCTTTTTGTTTGGAGACAGGGTTTCCTTGTGTCGCCCAGGCTATAGTGCCATGGTGTGATCTCACCTCACTGCAACCACTGCCTCCCAGGTTCAAGTGATTCTCATGCCTCAGTCTCCCGAGTAGCTGGGATAACAGGCATCTACAACCATGCCTGGCTAGTTTTTGTATTTTTAGTAGAGACAGGCTTTCACTACATTGACAGGCTGGTCTCAACCTCTTGACCTCAGGTAATCCACCCGCTTTGGCCTTCCAAAGTACTGGGATTACAGGTGTGAACCACAGTGCCTGGCCATGAATTCTAAAATTTATATAGAAATACAAAGGACCTAGAAAGCCAAAGCAATCTTAAAAATATTATTGGAAGATTTATACTACCAGGTATCAACAGTATTGGTGCAAGGATAAACAGACCAGGCAAAAGAACACAGAATACAGAAACAGCGACATCCACGGTCACATAATGAGCAAAGCCACACCTCCACAGTCATGTGATGAACAACACAAACACCACTGCAATTAGTGTGGGAAAGGCCAGTCTCTTCTGTGAATGGTGCTGAGTCAATCTGGCATTTGTGTGAAAACAAACAAACAAACAAACAAACAAAAAACACCATAAACAAAAATTAACTTAAAGTGGAGCACAGACCTAAATATATAGCTAAAACTATAAAACTTCTAGAATGAAACACAGGAGAAAAATCTTAGTGACTTTATGTTTGGCAAAGAGTTCATAAATATGACAAAAAAAAACATTAAAAAGGAAAAAAATGGATAAATTGGACATCATCAAAACTAAAACCTTTTGCCCTAAGGGGCAAGCCACAGGCTAGGAGGAAATACTTTTGAAATATATCCAACAAAGGACTTTTATCTAGCATTTAGTAACTGCAGGCTGTGTACAGTGGCTCACACTTGTAATCCCAGCACTTTGGGAGGCTGAGGCAAGCGGATTACCTGAGGTCAGGAGTTCAAGACCAGCCTGACCAACATGGTGAAACCCCATCTCTAGTAAAACACAAAATTAGCCAGGCATGGTGGCGCATGCCTATAATCCCTGCTACTTGAGAGGCTGAGGCAGGAGAATTGCTTGAACCCAGGAGGCGGAGGTTGCAGTGAGCTGAAATCACGACATTGCACTCCAGCCTGGGCAGCAAAAGAAAAACTCCATCTCAAAAAATAAAAAACCAAATTTACTAAGAATCTGCTTGCTGTTAAAATTTTTTTTCTTTTTTTCTGAGACAGAGTCTCGCTCTGTCACCCACGCTAGAGTGCAGTGGCACAATCTCAGCTCACCATAACCTCCACCTCCCCGGCTCAAGCAATTCTCCTGCCTCAGCTTCCTAAGTAGCTAGGATTACAGGCGTACATCACCATGCCTGGTTAATTTTCAATTTTTTTAAGTAGAGACGGGGTTTCATCACGTTGTCCAGTCTGGTCTCAAATTGCTGACCTCGTGATATGTCCGCCTCAGCCTCCCAAAGTGCTGGGACTACAGGTGTGAGCCACCACGTCCAGCCTGCTGTTAAAAATTTAAAACAACAAAACAACAAAACCCCTACAATTTAGACAGGCTACCACAATGGCTAAAATTAAAAAGGCTTACTGGCTGGGCTCTGTGGCTCCTGCCTGTAATGCTAGCACTTTGGGTGGCCCAGGTGGGAGGATCGCTTAAGCCCAGGAGTTTGAGACCAGCGTGGGCACCACAGTGAGACCCTGTCTCAAAAACACCACCACCACTTTTAGTTAAGCAAATTTTTTAAAAAACAAGGTTTACCAAACCAAGTGTTGGCCAGGATACAGAAAAACAGAAACTTTCACTCACTGTTGGTGGGAATGTGGTGCAATCATTTTGGAAAAAGTTTGGCAGCTTCATAAAAAGGTAAACAAGCACCTGCCATATGGCCCAGCCATTCTCCTAGGTATTTACTCAAGAGAAATGAAAGCATATGTCCATGCAAAGACAACAGAAATGTTCAGGGCAGTTTTATTTGCAGTAGCCCCCAAACTGGAAACAACCCAAATGTGCATCAACAGCTGAATGGAAAAACAAATTATGTGGTGTTTTCCATACAATGAAATACTATTCAGCAATAAAAAGCAATTAATTGTTAATAAATACAACAACAGTGATAAATCTTAAAATAATTATGCTGCAAGAAGCCAATGCCAAAAAATACGTACTGAGGCGGGCACGGTGGCTCACGCCTGCAATCTCAGCACTTTGGCAGGCCAAGGTGGGCAGATCACTTGAGGCCAGGAGTTCAGGACCAGCCCAGCCAACATGGTAAAACCCTTTCTCTACTAAAAATACAAAAAATAGCCCAGTATGGTAGCAGGCACCTGTAATCCCAGCTACTTGGGAGGCTGAGGCAGGAGAATCACTTTTACCCAGGAGGGCAGAGGTTGCAGTTAGCAGAGATCCCATCACTGCACTCCAGCCTGGGCAACAAAGCAAGACTCTGTCCAAAAAAAATACATATACACACACACACACACACACATACACGCACACATACATATGTATGCATATAGAAAATGCAAGTTAGTATGTAGTGATGGGAGCAGAGGAAACTTCTGGAGGTAATGGATAACTCCAGATGGATACCTTATCTTGATTTTGGGAACGATTTCACATAACAAATTATCAAAACACTTCACATTATTCATTAGAAATATATGTAGTTGATTATGTCAATTATACCTCAGTAAAATTATTACAGAAGTTTCCTAGGAGGTGACACTATCACTGGGCTCTGCCCCAGCTTTTGAGCTTTCCTGGAGCTGGGTCTGTCCCTTGAAGTCAAGTGGGTGGGCTTAGCAGGTAGGATGGACTTCATTTCCTTCCACTGTCTGTACACATGGCATTTGTCCTTCAAACATGCCCAGCTACTTCCTTCCTGAACCCCCAGGTCTTCAAGGCACTGGGGTCTCCTCATTGTTTTAGCATGAATGTCAAGGGCCTTCACTGAGCACGTCTAAATTAGTTCCTGCCCTCACTCTGTCCCAAAATTACTTTCTGTATTTCTGTTTTTTCTTCACTGTACATATCAGAACTAGTTTGTGTGTGTGTGTGTGTGTGTGTGTGTTTTGAGATGGAGTCTCACTCTGTTACCCAGGCTGGAGTGCAGTGATGCAATCTCTGCCGACTACAACCTCTACCTCCTGGGTTCAAGTGATTCTCCTGCCTCAGCCTCCTGAGTGGCGGGGACTACAGGCGCGTGCCACCACACCTGGCTAATTTTTTGTATTTTTAGTAAAGACAGGGTTTCTGTGTTTGCCAGGATAGTCTCAATCTCCTGACCTTGTGATCTGCCCACCTCAGCCTCCCAGTGCTGGGATTACAGGCGTGAGCCACCATGCCTGGCCTAGGCATTCTTACTCATTTAGTCATTCATTTTTTTGGGTGGAGGGGATGAAGTTTCACTCTTGTTGCCCTTCCAAAATGCTGGAATTTACAGGTGTGAAACACGGTGCCCGGCCCTCTTTTTATTTTTTAACACAGGGTCTCTATGCTGGAGTGCAGTGGCACAATGACTGCTCACTGCAGCTTTGACCTCTTGAGCTCAGGTGATCCTCCCACCTCAGACTCTTGAGTAGCTGGGACTACAGGCGCATGCCACCATGCCCAGCTAGTTGGTTTTTGTAGAGGTGGAGTTTTGCCATGTTGGCCAGTCTGCCCTTTCATTTTCATCTATTCCTATTATTTTTTTTTGAGACGGAATTTTGCTCTTTTTGTCCAGGATGGAGTGCAATGGCGCAATCTCGGCTCACTGCAACCTCTGCCTCCTAGGTTCAAGTTATTCTCCTGCCTCAGCCTCCTGAGTAGCTGGGACTATAGGCCCGCGCCACCACGCCTGGCTAGTTTTGTATTTGTAGTTTTACTAGAGACAAGGTTTCACCATGTTGGCCAGGCTGGTCTCCAACTCCTGACCTCAGGTGATCCACCCACCTCGGCCTCCCAAGGTGCTAAGATTACACGTGTGAGCTGTAATCATCCCCTGCACCCTGTCATCATCTATTCTATTATCTTCCTCCCTGCTCAGTCGGTGCCCCATCAAAATCCCTATCACTGGTGGTGCACCCATCCCATAGATGCTGTAGGTGCTGGCTGATAACTCTTAGCTGCCCCTGACATAACATGTAGAAGGATACAAAATACTGGCTCTCTTGCCTTAATGAGGCCTAAGTGTGATGCCATTTGTGCTCAGAGTTCTCCATGACAGCAAGCGGAAGCTAGTCTCTATGTGAGATCACACTCTGCCTCAGCCTTAGCCTTTTCCCTGCCCTGTCTTGCTTCCCTCACCCCCTTTTCCTGAGAGCACTTCCCCAATAATTCACTCGAGCAAGAATGCTCATCTTAGGCTCTGCTTCTAGGGAACCTGACCCATGACACCCTCTGTTAGCTTCCTCAGAAACTATCTTGTTAGTTCCTCTAGAACAAATTCCTGTCTTGGACTCTGCTTATGACCACCCCCTTCATTCCCCTGCCAGGGATGACAGCTTAATGAGGGCAATATCTTCTTCACTTCGCTAGAATTGTTCCTAGAACACAGTACGTGATCAATGATGCACTGAATGCATGCAGCAGAGAGCCCAGGGTCTGTCTGACAGCTCAGCAGTCAGCAACCCTTCTGTCCTGCAGTAGCCCGGCCTGGAGGTATTGTGAGTCATAGCAGGTAGACAGGAGCTGAGTGGGTCACAGATAGGGTCAGACCTGGGACGGCAGCTCAGCAACTCCACCACATCTTCCAGGTGAGGCACAGCATACAGTGAGAACTAATGGGGAAGGGTCCTCTGACAAGATACAATCTCAAGGGTGGGCCTAGATGTGGACTTCCAGAGACCATCTCCCTGAACCACATCTTGGGGATGGCATATACCATCCAGCCTCTGCCTAGCTATATGTGAGGGATAAGTGTGTTATGAATTAATGAAGGTATAACAGAGGGAAGCCTGCTCCAATTCTTTTTCTTCTCACTGTCCATGGGCAGGAGAGGAATTAACAACAACACATAGCTCCTTGGCCAGGCGTGGTGGCTCACGCCTGTAATCCTAGCACTTTGAGAGGCCAAGGTAGGCAGATCACGAGGTCAGATTGAGACCATCCTGGCTAACACTGTGAAACCCCATCTCTACTAAAAATACAAAAAATTAGCCAGGCGTGGTGGCATATGCAGGTAGTCCCAGCTACTAGGGAGGCTGAGGTGGGAGAATTGCTTGAACCCCAGAGGTGGAGGTTGCAGTGAGCTGAGATCATGCCACTGCACTCCAACCTGGGCTACAGAGCGAGACTCCATCTCAAAAACAAACAAACAAAAACACATAGCTCCCTTTTTCACATAATAGAATCAGCACTTACTGGGCGGGGGAGTACAGGGAGAAGTGAGCAAAATGGGACTTGTCTGTTATCTGAACTTTGGATTCCCTTAGGGCATAATCTGTTTGGAACAAAAAGTCATGTCTAGTGTGCACAATCCCTATTACTTTGAGCCCTATGCATATCTCTAGCCCATGGTGCACACCCCAGGATGTCAGTGAACACACTGGACCATGGTCTACACAGGCATCTGTCTTCCAAGCTGGATCTGGAGCATCTTGAGGGCAGGCAGAGGCTGTTTCAGGTCCTCCTTCCAAGACCAGGGCCTGGCACAGAGCAGATGCTAGTTGACTGAATGATGAGGGCAATCATGCTGTTGGGTATGCTAGACAGCCTCCCAGATTGTTTCCAGAATCCAGATCTAACCCTAGCTTTGTAATCCTTCAGCAGTTCCCTCTTACACACAAGAGGAAGTATAAACTTCTGAGCCTGCCTGTACAGCACCCTCACATAGTGCCCACCTTCCCAGCTTCCTCTTCTGCTCTTCCCAGCACCAATCCTATCCAAGCTAGTGTTCACATCTGAAACATGAAAGTCCTGTCGGGCACGGTGGCTCACACCTGTAATCCCAGCACTTTGTGAGGCCGAGGCGAGCGGATCACCTGAGGTCAGGAGTTCGAGACCAGCCTGGCAAACATGGTGAAACCCCATCTCTACTAAAAATACCAAAAAAATTAGCCACGCATGGTGGCAGGTGCCTGTAATCCCAGCTACTATGGAGGCTGGGACAGGAAAATTGTTTGAAGCTGGGAGGCGGAGGTTGCAGTGGGCAAAGATCGTGCCATTGCACTCCAACCGCAACGACAAGAGCGAAACTACGTTTAAAA